CGGAACTGATGGCATCGCGCTGATGACAGATCTCCAGGCTCGGGCGGGGAGTCGGCACTTGAGCGGAGGAGCGGTAGATGTGTTCTGAGGCGCGAGCTCCTCAGAAGCCGTGGACCTTGATCATCTATGGATACGTCAGTATAGTCACGGCGACACGTGAGGGGGGTTTTCGAACCCTTGGCATCCATCTCCAGACCCTCCTTCTTGTCGATGAGGAATTCGTGAATAGCCTTACGCTGGTCGCCTGGCAAATTTGGTCAACACGCGCTCTCTCTCGTTCGTCGCCCTCAATTTGAAGTGCCACATACCCTGAAGCTGGATGACATCACCCATCTCCGAGTCCTCAACGATGGTACCGTTGCACGCAAACTTCTTCTTGATCACCTTGAGGATCTTCTTCTGGTCGAAGCGGCGGGGAAGGCCCTGGATGGTGGTGAGAGTCTTGCGTCCATTGCGCTGCTGGATACGGATGTGAATGTAGCTCTGGCTCTGCTTGGTGGCAGCGGCGTCGTTGGTGTCGCCCTCGTCCGCATCCGCGAAGGGGTCGATGGTCTTGAGATTCTCGATGGTCGTCATTAGAGGTGGTTTGTGGGGGACGTTGCGCAAGGGCACGGCAGTCGGTCGGAAAGTGATTGAGCTGGGTTGTGTTTGAGGCGTGTATAGGTTTTACGGGGTTTGTGTACGTTCTTGAAAGAGTAGGGTGCGAGGGAGGCGCAGATGTCGTGAATGTCGAGGTTCTTCGATGATTGTGTGCGATGGTGAAGGATGGAGGGGTGTAGGCGGGGTTTATTTGATAAGGGGGTTGACTCAGGCTCAGCCACAAGTCTGGGGGTGGCGTTGGTGGCGTATCTTATCGCCTGTTGCTGCCTGGATCATCCACTGACAACACATCGTGACAATAGACTCTGCCTATACGTGCCTGTATCAGCCGTCAATACACATCATAAGAATAGACTAGACCTGAATTTTCACAAGTAGCTTTGTTGACGGTGTCATGCCGAGTTTTCCTTCTTTTCATTCTTCTTTTCACAATGTTATCCTCTACACCCAAGGTGCGGTTTTCTGGGGCCATAACAACTGCTTCACAAGTATTTTTCAAGTTGCTGGAGGACTCATAATGTCTAATTCCATAACGCTGTCAAATTGTTCGCGACCCTGCTACTAAACACTAGTATTTGGACTCTGCACTTCAGACACAGACTTTCAACACTCTTGAGAAAAAAGCA